ACGCCCAAAACCGAGGACACAATGATGATCACCATAGCCCCGACACGCTCATACATTGGTAACTGGTTCCAGAAGACTTTCAGATAGAAAAGTAGAGGCAACACGAGGCTGCCGGCCGTGACGGCCGAAGCACCCGTGAAGTCGACGAGATCAAGGAAGTTGTCCCGCAGAAACACCGACGCCACCACAAGTAGGGCGAGGATACATAGTCGAAGAAGGATGTAGCGCAGCATGTTGAGCTTGCCACGGTACTCGGAGAATTCGTCTTCGTACTTTGCCACGACCTGGGGGGTGCCAGAAGCAGCATTGTACCTGCACTCTGGAGTGACTGGGGACGCACCCGCCACGGACGAGAGTTTCTCACGCATCTCAACTCCTTGCTCCGGGTCAACGACAGGTTGGTACTTGTGCATTCCCAGAAGGAATCGCTCCGCCATAAAGAACGCCGGCATCGTGATCGTCGAGAAAGCGATCACAATGTGCACGTGCATGAACATGTAGGCCATGATGACAGCACCGCGGCTGGGGATGAAGCCCAGAGCCGACGTCGCGTACGGGTCCGACGTGTTGACAGCCGAGAAGAGGAGGTTGCCCGAAAGCTGACATCCTCCAGCAGCGTAGCCGGCAATGGCAATGGCGAGAAAGAAAACCGTACCGATCCCCATGCTGACCATAATGATGCGTGGCATCCGCTCCGGTTGAGAGTGTTGACGTTGTAGATCTGGGATCACCACAGCAGCCCCGTACGCAAGTGCCAGATTACCGAATGCAGTCACCACTTGGTGGAGTGACACATCAGGCTTCGGGATCGACGGGTGACCCCGCATCTCCCATTCCAGAATGGAAACTCCGACGACGTCAGCTATGATCGTACTGAGGCACCCCATAAGCGCAACGGAAGACGCCTCCTTCAAGGTGGGGATCAGGCACACTGGGATGACCGTGACAGCCATGAAGACCATCCAGAAGATCTGACTGAACGAATCGGGGAACAGCACGTCGAGCAGCATACTGCCGAGTACCAAGAAAGCACACGGTAGCAGTAGGCACACTAACAGCTGCGACATCATGACAGCATAGCGACCTGTGATGCCAAACACCCAGGCACCGACATCCGTGAATGTTTTGACGGACGGCGGTGCTGCGTTGATGACCTTGGACAGAGCGATAGTCGCGTAGATGTTTACGAACGCCATCAGAAGTAGAGCAACCGTAGCGTAGATCGGCCCCGCGCGCGCGTAGTTGGATGGCATTGACAGCGAGCCATACCACAGAAGCAGCAGAAG